TAAGAAAATGGAAGAATGAAATTTGCAAAGAAATAGAGGACCAATCTCAATTTTTAGGGTCTGGGAATTAATAACTGAATATTTTATCTATCGTCTCATGCTGTCACTTATTTATCACATTGTCCTATAGATTTTATGATTCTTTTAACTGCCATCCAATAGACTTTTGTCTCAAATAGTTTCTGCTTAAAAAGACACATATGTCCTCTAGATATTCAAGAATAGCTTTTGCTATTGATACAGTAATCACAGGTGTACTGCTACTTAAAATAAATACATACATTTTTATGTATTTTACTTAACTGTACTTGGTTCTTTAATCTGCTTGTTCAATTTCCTCATTGACCCTACACTCGTATTTGGAAAAGAAAACAAAACAAAACATCGAAGGTTTTTTTCTGAATCTGGCCATCTTCCTAGGTAAGAGCTGATTGATGTAAGGACTTCAGGACTGGGCCACAACAGCTCACCTGTATTCAGGGAGCCTCGATGGGCTGTGCTTGGCTTCCTGCCAGGAACAGAATTCCTTTTCATGAAAGCGTGAAGCCTCCACAATTTCTCTCTCTTTCAGTGTTTTTCATGAAAGAAAACTGAGCAGAAGTCAAAGATAAAGAAAGTCATAGACAGAAACTTAGATCAGTACACAGTGCACATAAGTGCAAAATATTTTTTTTACAAATACAATATACTTCCACAGCAAGTTTTGGTTTTACTGAATTGGTGTTTTCTGACAAAAACAAATGTATTTTGGCCTATATCTGTAGCAATTTCACGTCTCTTTTTCCAGCCTGCATGAGGTGTTGCCAAAATTTTTCCCATTCCTTGCCTGTTTTCACCCATGTAACTCCTGGTTAATAGTAGTGGCTCACCTTTCCCTGCTCCCAGAGTTTGATGAGGTAGGAATACTTAAACAAGGGAAAAAGAGATGCCTTAAGAAACTTGACTTCCGTGAGTATGGTAAAGGGCAGATTACAGTCCTTCCTTAAATTAGAAAATTAAACAGAAACTAATGCATGTCAAAGATCAAACAGGCAAGGAATAATCTGCTGCTGCAATTACTACCAACAGGGGTTGATTCAGTTGATACTTTCCAAATACAATTTGACATCTCATAAAAATTACAGCTAAACCAACAGAAACTAATTTCTGTTTTTCACAGGTGTCTATCAGGTTATAAACACACCTAACTTATTGGTTGTAATAAATGCATAACGGAAGGATATAGTTTAATATGAGCCATAGACCTTCCGAATCACCTGTGAAAATAAACTGAAATGGAGTATTTCTGTCTGTCAGTAACAGTCCTGAAACATTTTGTGGCTTTTGAAAAATTAGATTTTTAGTGGTCTTTGACCGAAGTTTTTTTTTTTTACTCTCCTTATGATCTAGATGAGAATGGTCTAGTCATAGAAACATTTCTCCCAGACCATTTAAGAGCAGATCTACTGACTGAGTTATTCTATTGACCTAAATAGTATTGGATAGGACCAAAAATTGATTTCTCTTGATTTATTGAGATCCTATCTTTATGCACCATTACAGATAAGTGTTTTCTTCAGTTGTTTTTGGGTTGGTTTTGGGTTTGGTTTTTTTTCATTTTTCATTTAAATAAACTATTATGAGTTTATTTCAATACCTTGGTGCTACTCAGAGATTTTTAAAAACTCTTTGGAAAATGTTCTTATCATTTCAGATTGCCATGTACACAGTGCAATAATGCACAGAAGCAGTGAAAAAGAAGTGGACTTCACACAGCAAAGTTCTTGTAATGGGAGAATACAGTTAAATGCAAATGCATAACTTAAGTTACAAAGTTGTGTTTTCACTCTAGCACAAACTTTCTTTATTAATTACAGAAATGCCTTTCTTGTATCAATAGCCCATTCTGATTTTGGTGCTAGAGATCTTTTATATTACTAAAAGAATGGTACAGTATAAGCTTTATATAAGATTTATGGTGTTTAAAATGCTGTACTACTTTATATAAAAGGCCAAAAGCTATGCATACCAAGTATGCAGGAAATAAAGAAGTCTAACTGAGATAGAACAAGTGGGTACTTTTGATCTTTATGATTTGGTATACTGTCTTCACAGGAATATATGAGCCACTTGAGTTAAACTAAAAGAGACCGTGTCTCATCTGCTGGTAGGAAAGCTGGACAAAAACTGACGTAACAAATACTGAAGAAGGTCAAAGTTATAACACGGAAACTTCTCTTAGCACTGTTTGAAACAGCGCTGGACACATTCTAAATTAAAGTATAGGAAAATATCAGGGATCATACTTTGGCTATAAACTTTTGCTCTAAGCTGAAACATGGCATAGAAAGTTTCAGCACAGCACGATCCTTCTCTTGTAATTACTGAATTCAATTTAAATTACTCCCAAAACAAATGATCTTCCCTCAGAAACTTTCATATACTTTCATTCTTTCCTATTACTTAAATACCATGTTTTTTTTTCTTTTATAAAAGAATAAACTGTGCATATCCTTTATTAAGCTTTTCAGTGCTATGAAGAAAAATCGCCTATTAAAGAAAAGAGAATTTTTTACTGCATCGTACTAGATTTTCTTTTTCTGAAGGAGAAGGATGTGTAATAAAAAGCTGTGAAGTTACAATTTCCAAACTAGTCAATATGGGGCCAAATCTTGCCTAAGGAAACATCGATACTCATTAAAAGCAATAGAAATCTGAGGACAAACTTAACATTTCTTACCAAATGCTCCTGCATTTTAGAAGCAAACTATTACATCTTGCACTGGCAGAATGGAAATAATGAAGCATATCTCCACTAGACCCATAATGACACGTACTGCCACCCTGTAACAGCACCCACCACGGGCTCCCAGGGGACACCAGAGCTGCCAGGGGACGATGAATCTCAGCTGTCAGAGCAAGGACTAGCAGCAGTCACTGAGACAGGATGTTTTTTTCTATATAACTCCAGGCCTACAGCCCCAGACAAACCTCCTATGTTGGGAAACTGCTGGAAACTGAGACTTACAGAAAGGATTTTCATTTACTATAATCTGTGTAAGATAATTAGAACTGTTCAAATTCAGGAAAAGGACTGTTAAAAAAAAAAAGAAATGCCACAGCTTTAGACAGTTAAATTGTAACAGTTGTTGCAAAAAAAATCCCAGTATAATGATGAAGCATCATATTAATTTCACCAAAAATATTGGCTAATATAAACCTGTGTTGCTGCAATAGCTGCTACTATTTCCCTTCCTTTCCCTTCTCTTGTCTGTTATGCCCTTGCCCTTGAGAGCAGGAAAACTGCTAACGCATGGGGTAACCCCATTTCTATTTGGGCATAATTTTTGACCTTAAAGCATGACTTCAACATATTTCAACTGATTTCAGCTGCGCTACAAAATCAACAATATCAACATTAAGAATATCTTGCCTTGTAAACACGGATGGATGATTGGATCACGGGATCAGTACAAAAGATCCATTGTTTTTCTACCGGCACAATAATTTAATAGTAAGGAGTGCTTATCTTTTCATTGAGACTGAAATTCATTCCTGTTTAGACTAGTGTCTAAACTTGGCACATGGCACATATGCTATGGAAATTCCTTTTAAGCCCTATGAAGGATCTAGCACTTTAGAGGGATGTAGGTGATTCATAAGCCTCTGAAATTCACTTTAGAAACTTTAGATGCACTCTGTGGCACCAGTGCTGAGACTCATTGGGTTACTGTTACACAGTTAGAAACATCTCAGCCAAGGAAGAAACATCTTCAGACAGCAGAGAAGAGGTAAATGAGGCATATTATATTTTTCTTAGTGATAAAACACAGTCAAACACAGAACCTAAGGCATGGTCAAGGAAACTTTGCTACCATTTGATTCAGAATATTCATTTGGTATAATTTCAAAGTGTTCAAATTTGATCAAAACATTTTGACAAGCTTAATTGTGTATTGCTTGAGTTTATGGCAGTTGTGGTGATGTGTATGACATTTTATCATAAGCCTTTCCTATTCATGTGGTGTTGCAGAGCATCAGACACGTATTAATGATTTTAGAAATGTGCCCAACAGAAGTGAAATTTCAACAACAGAAGTTTGCTATTGGGCCCCTGTAAGTAGCCTTTTTCCTTTTTTTTTTTTTTTTAATTTTTTTTTTTTTTTTTAAGGAAACACACAGAAAAGCAACATAATCACCTAAAATAGCAGATAAAGAAAAAATTGCCTTCCAAAAGAATTGTCCTATAGATCGCATAATGAAACTACAGAGGGGAAAAGGCATCTGTATAGTCAGAATAATCAAAGGAGTAAGTGTTGTAGATACAATTAGCCTGCAGCCCACTAGGGCCTACTGAGAAATATGCTACTGACATATAATAGGGGATACTTTTAAACACCTCTACTGCAGTGTGAGGGAGAAGTCAGAAGGCCGTTCAACTACCTGAGAAGTGTGTGAAACTACTTACTAATTACAGTGGGTTATTAACTATATATGTATGTAAACTAGATATGGTCTATGCACTCACAAAACACAAATAAATAAGTGCAGTCATAAACAAATAGCCATCAGATAATCAAAGAGCATTTTTCATCTAGAACTACTTGCACTAAGAAGGAAGCAATATCTGACTTCAGTTGCAACCCTAAATGATCTTTAAGAAGCACTGGGTTTTGCATATTTTTCCCTAAAATATTTATCTTAGAAATGAAATCAGTTTCAGTATCTGCCAGAAATGTTTAATAAGCTGCAAGATAGGAAAATATAGTATTAAAATAGCAAAAAGTTTTGATTCCTTACAGTTACTACTTTTTTTTTTAAATCTAATTGGGACCAACTGGCCTCATTGCTTCTTATAAACTTAGTAATATATATTCAGAAAAAGGAATAAAAATGAACAGATGTTTCTCCTTAAAGAAGTCAGACAAAGATTTTTCTTACACAATAAATCAGCTGCTAGTGGATTTCCAGGACACTGCTCCAGGCTAACTGTTTAGGTATGGCTTAAAAACCTGGTTTACCTCTGTATGTATCCAAAACTGGTAAAGTAGATTAAACTGGAGATGAACAGCAAACACTGAAGGGGGAATGAAAAGAGCCATGGGCAGGTTGAAAATCTGAAAAATAAGAAAGAAAATATACGTTAGATATATCATTCTAAACTTGTGATGATATAATCAAGTACTCTCTCAGGAGCTAGAGCACTGCACAAGATAATTGCTTCTTCTAATACCTCCATAAAGTAGACATGATGTAGAATAGATACTGGTTGTTAAGTTACTACTAGATGTGCTACAGCAAATGAGACATAAATTGCTGCAAAAGTGATTTGCCAAAAGTCATAATGCGAGCAAGTAGAAAAATCAAGAAAAGAACTCAGAAATCCTGAGATTAGGTGTTTATTCTGTGTACTATACAGAGCAGACAGCAACATATCCTTGACATGAAGGGTTCATTTATAGGGGAGAATTATCACAGAGTAAGCAAGGTGTGAATTTACAACGCTATAGCTTTTCCATCCAAACTCCCTACGTGAGCACCATAAGGGCAAGGCAGCTTACTTGGCTTTCAAAGTTAATTATAAATTCGCACCCCAACTTCCACACGGCATCTCCCTCAAAGCCCCGATATATTGCTGAGCTCTAAAGATGTGCTAGCATGAAAACAGTTTCAGAAAACTGCTTACTTAGGAAAGACACTGGTAAGTTACGTACAGAGCAAAGTCCCAGGAATTTCACAATTAATTGCCTAACTGGCTGAGCAATAAAATAAGACTTCCAAGACCTTCACGTGTTAAAAGTCAGTCTGCTTTCTTCAGAAAAAGGCTTATCTTTTTTTTTTTCCTTCTACCTGACATTGTGTTATACCAGCTGCATTAAGAAGTTAATCCTTCCCTAAAATACAGATATTTTTTCTAAACCAAACAGTTTTCTAAACCAAAACTTTAAGTCTCTTTAGCACTCAGGGAAAATCTGGGTAGCAGATAAGAGTTCCCTGTGAAATTAGCAAAATCTGTTTTCAAATTCCTATTGTCCTTCTTACAATAATCAAATCTTTGAACATCAGAGAAAGCAATTTGATAGCCACGACAGGCCTCCTGAGCCAGGAATTCCTTTAGTGTAGGTCTGCACACAGCATTTAATGCCGCTATTCCCTCAGCTTTTGTCAGAACGGCTACCCAATAGGTAAGATGTCACACTGGGGCTGTGAAACAAATGCACCTCCATCCCCACAATGTGACTGATGCTCTCAAGAAAGTCCTGACAGCCGTATCTCACTGTCACGAGCCAATGGAGGACTAAGGCTCTGCAATCCCAGCTCGGTCTGCTGGCTTCAACACCAGACAACAACTGAAGCCCTAGAAGCACCCTGAAGTCACTGCGGTTTCATCATCACCTGGTAGAGCTGGGACAGCTGTGATTTCAAAAACTACATTCAAAGGCTTCAGGGATCATAGCTGCCTCACAAACTACTCGTGGGGCATCTCTGGCTGAATGTCTTGGAAGTTCTTTTCCAAGAATTAAAGGAATTCAAAGGTGGTAGAAGGTCTATGCTGGGCATAGACACATAGTAAACAGCTATTTTGTTTTAATCAGTCTGATTGTGAAAGGCTGAAGTGTTTGCGTAATATTTATAAAACAAAAAAGAAAGAAACATGTATTTGGATGGTGATATTTGCATATTCAATCCCTAAGAATCACTCGGCCTAAGTAAACTCACAAAAATTGGTGGCAACTCTCAGCTAAGCTAAGGTAGAAGCTAGTAAATGCCATCAGGGGGGATGTGGTATTTGGGCATGAAATTCTGGAGTAGAGGTGGGCATGAGCCTTCTTTAAGAGTTAAAAACGCAGATCAAACTGCCTTGTGCAGAAGACTACTAAACAGAATAGCAACTTTCAAACCCACAATTCTCCATGCTCTGAAACAGAAAGGTAGTGCAAGCCTCCCATGCTTTATAAGAAATGCCCTAAACACTGGTATGGAGTCAATCTCTTTTCTGGGTTCCTTTTTCCTCCTTCTTCTAACCTGGACCCCCTTAGTATTTAATTATTAAAAGTGGGGGAGCTACAAAAAAAAGAGACTGAAAGATATTTGTCCCACCACAGCCAGAAGGCTGGCATGGTTTTTCTCAAAGGTTATTTTACAAAGAAGCCAACGAAGCAGTAGGACACACGGCCAGATTTAAGTAAAGCTACTGCAGTTTTCTCATATTATTGATTGTACCTGTCTAATGGCATGATAAGAGCAGGAAATTTTTTAAAAGGAATGGAGAGGAAGTTGATTTAAAAAAAAAAAAACACCCAGATGGTTTTCAGATTATTCATGGAAGTCGTTGCAGGATTTAAAGCAGGGTTAAAAATGATATGCTTTTTCCCTAAAAGTATCAGAGGCAATTTGGTGGTATTTACAGATGACTCAGAGGGGAAGGAAGGATCATCTTCATATTTATTTTCTAACCTACTTCTCAGTAGGTTAGAAAATTACTAGGATTTCCCCGCTAAGTGGTGAGATGAGGGAAATTTTATATAAAACTACAGGTAAATTTGAGATTGACAAAGGAGAATATTTTCCTAACTGCCTCATGTTTCCTTGCAATGTAAGCTTTATTTTCCACAGAAAGGATTCCAAAGATCATTTACAAAAGTAGAACCCATAGGGAGGAATGAAAACATCTCCCACACAAAAGATTTGGTTGGCCCTATCTGTGGTTCCACTGGAACAACAAGATCAATGTCAGAAGAAAAAAAAATCATTAAATAGTTTTTCACTGGAAATGCCAATTCACCAAATCAAAACATTTCATGGGAACGTACCATCTTTCACTAATCTGTAGAGGAAATGCTTTCCTGGCTCCAAGATGGAATTTCTGGTCAAAACTGCAGAAAAACACTTATCACACTCACAGATCTTTTCCCACTTGTGGATTCAGCAACAGAGATTGAGAGCGCGCCACAGGAACTGATAACCTGATGGGAAAGGCACCCATGGAGGGGGCGGAGAGGGATTCCTATCTGGGGCTGCTGCACTGCAGCTGTCTGCCTTCACGCTGCAGGCATTGCCCCTTTTGAAGGGTGTGTGTCCGCTGCGTGCTCTACCTTTCTCCCTCTCATTTGTAAGGAAAAGCTTATAAACGCTTCCACTACAGAAAGGGAAAATTTTGAAACTCCTGAGGTTTAGCGGGAGGGCTGAGTTTCCTGCGCTGAGCCCCTCCGTTTCCGCGCTGGGTCTCAGGGGCCACCCGCCGATGCGGCCGGCTCTCGCCGGCAGGC